AAAGTCTAGATGTGGAGAAGGAAAGCACATCTTATCAGGAAAAACTGGCAAAAGCGAAAAAATAGAGAAAAGAAGCAAAGAGGATGCCTGAAGGGGTATATTTGAAGTCATACTAGGAACTTCTTCGCTAAGTTTCTGTCAACATACATCAGAACACTGGGGAACGCATACGATTTTAACGATCTCTCTGAAATTTTCACTTGGACCTGATGTCGAGCAAGGTTCGATATGAAATTCGCTTTGGGATGCGGGTGGCGTACATTGCTGTCCGTGTTGAACTGCATCTACCAGGCGTTGCTCAGTTGCTTAAAGTATGCATCGGACGCTCCACGATGTTCGTTTATATATTGAGTCCTATGCATTTCTCGAATTTTCGAGCTCCACGATGGAAGAAGTCGAAATCGAACCTCACGAAGAGCAACCATATACACCAAAGCAATCATGCAGAAGGATCTTAATGACAAATTAGGATGCATGCACGTCATAGATACGAAATCAGACAATGGTCATATAATAGTCATAACAAGCTACTTACATTGCAAAACACATATCTGAAAGCACGTGAGCTGCTGGAATCCACTGTGGATCGTTCTCTAATACAGTTTTTGTCAAAATAAATAACGAGCATCCAATGACAGTGTTCACTGCCTCCACAATTGATTGATGCATCAAAATCTAAACCATCTGGGAATGTAATAACTTGCTATCCTAGAAATAAGTATTTTTGACATCATTTAGTTGGGCAGCAGAATTGATCACAACTGTTATCTCCATATTCGCTCTTTTTGAAAACTGTGCAATTCTATAAGTAATCAGTGCTTTGGTGTCCAACAAGATTTTTGATGGTGGGACATGTATTGCGGCTCGACAAGTTCATCCAAAAAAGGCTATCGACTATTTCTTCATTTTTAGGCCCCATCGAAATGGAATAGATCGTATCGTAAAGGCGCATAGACTCGGATAGGCCACGAGTAATTGCAAGCCATGCAATTCAAAATAAAAGGAGTGAACAGGTAATTTTTTCTGTGATTCAATATTCATGAATTGAATGTTAGTAATTCGTTTCGCCTTAAAATCTGACGTTTTTCACCTCCCCCTAAGGCTCACTTCGTTTTTACTTTTACTCCGAATGAGAAGGGGCAAGGGTGGAAGTATAGTTGGATACGATTTGTTCCCAAGTAAGCTGGAATTTCGGGATGATGAAAAGCCTTCTACCTTCATGACTTTGAGATTTTCTTTCAGTTGAAATTTTGTGCTTAGAGTGTAGATGACTTTTTTCTGCATATGATTGTCCAGGTTTCGCAATCTCGTAGAATCTCGACGGAAAATAGTTATAAATGTTGTACAATAGATAAGGAAAATTACAGCGATCAATATCGATGCAATCATTTCGTTGCAGTAGCCTAAAATAAAAGCGATATTCCTGCCTAAACTCTAAAAAGGACTGTCAGAATAACCATTCGATGGATCGAGTGCAAGATATGAACTTGCCCAGCATGTTAGTAGTTGCCGTTAATATTGAAACGAAATGAACTGTTGGAATCACAGCTCCACATATCCATGGTCTGGGAAGCTTTTCGTAATCAGTGATATATTTCGAAGCAAAAATTCTTTCGATAATCACTGACGGAAAATATAATATCAATGAATTCATAGCCCACATACGAACGAAACATGCACACGATAAGAGAACTTTTGAGATATCGCTTCCTATAAAGTCATAGTTATATTTACATTGTTCAAATATAAATTTTGAAAGTTTTTCGGCAATAATCAACCTCAGCTTAGGATGCGTCCTCGCATTCGACCTCCCGTCAAAATCGTGATGGCGATTTGCAATGGCCTACACTACGACATGCAAAGGTCGGCTCATGCACGGACCAGTGCTGTTATCCCTCAGACAAGTCTGGTACCATTCACCTCAGAGAGATCGCTGCATGTGTTATTGAATTATTATTATTATCATTGCACGTGCTATAGCCACTCCCCCCTCCCTTTTACTCGGCACTAAACCATCTTTGCACCATTATTTACTTGAAAGCATCAAGGAACATTGAAACTCTTTATTGATGCTCCGATTATTGAACTTGAACGACATTTCAAGAAAAATTCTGGAGCCTCACCATCATATGCTAAGATACCGGATTCGTAGAAGGTTATAACGACACGTCCTACGGCATTAGGATAAAAGGTGATCAATAGAGCCTGTAAAACATATTTGAAAACTGTTCAAAGAAAGGTTCCAATGTAAAAACCATGGAGGTTCAATACAAGATCCAAATCGCTTTGAAACAGTGTCAAACTGTGAAGTTAAAGCCAGTCTTTTTCTTGGGTGTCCGAAACGATAAAGGGCTGAATGCAAACTTAGAAGATGCAAGCTGCAACAGGTTTCTGCCTATCCCAGCCGATCTCGGAGGTTAGGCAGCGGTTTATTTGAGTCGAACCGATATGTGCACGATACATACAACATAAAGATCCTCCCTCACCGCCCTGCAGAGGAACAAATCATGAGAGGTATCCGGCTATTACAGTACTCTATTACAGTACGGTATCCGGCTTGTCCTGAGTTGAGCCCCTGAACAGTGGGTATCACAGCGAGGATTCGGAATCGGGGATTGATTGTACGCGGAATTCTACGTCTGCGCTTTTCATTCCAAGATAAGGTTACTGCAAAAGCTGTGTTCGCTTCTTTAATTCTCAGACTTGTACCCTTCCTCAGCTATGCAGCTGTGAGCAAAGGATTTTAACTAGACTGTACTCGGAGCCAGAGGCGCCAAAATATCTAATTTCAAGTACCGAGATCAAACATTATTCCGCTCTCAGCGCAGGTTTCCTGAGGACAAAAAATCTCGGAAAAAGCTAACTAGCTTCTTCCGTGAGCAGCATACCTCATCGAGGAAAGCAGTAGTTAAACTTACTTGTGAAATTCGAACGAGATTCTTATGAAATAATGATGTCTTCCCAAAAACACGTATTAGTCGTGTAATATATACTAAAGCTAGACAGGTAATAAGGTTTTCGATGATAATTAGGATCCAATAGATGACATCTTTCGCATTAGCCACCTCCGGGCAGATGATGACAAGAAAAATTTCTTGTTCTCCAATAGTCACCTTGAGCATTATGCAGTGAATCTGAGAAGAAGCAAAGATCAAAAACGTGGATAAATAGTCAAGNAATAGTCACCAATGAAGTCAAAGATACAAACAGTGCCTAGAGATACAACTCAATTTTCTGAAAATGGGATCTATTTATCTGAATTGTATCATATTTTGCTCCTACAAACATGGTCATCTGTAGTAGCAGTGGCATGCAACGAGGAAGTAGTAACACTCAGGAAAACGTTCGGAGACAATAAGTGTACAGGTAACTGCTTCAGTAAGTGCTATTCCTCGTAAGGTGGAAAGGTGCGACAGCAAGATGATGTTTTTTGAATGATGTTTAGTCCCTTCAAAGTTAAGTGATGTTTTTGAAAAACATTAATCTCTCGTAAAGAAGAAAAGAAATGTTTGTTCTATCCGGAACGATGTTAACAATCACCTGCCATTACAACAAATGGTTGCCCTACGAGCGGCGATTAGCCCTTCAATTTGATGCATATGATAATGAGAATAAGGCTCTACTATGCGCTCAGATGGAAAGGATAGACATGTAAAAAGATTGTCTTTGGCATTAACTTCTCCCTCCCTTGGGATGACGCTCCGCATTCGACTTTCACAAGGAAGTGGCGATTTGAATCGTATGTGGCTACCTATTGACTTGCTTTGACCGTTCAATGTATAAGTTCGTTCTTTTCGGTAAGTCAAAAGAATACCTTTTCATCGCTCTAGGATCGGTATATTAATCAGACGAAGCCGGTGAATATATAGCCACTTCGGGGAGATGGAAGGCTCTGTTAGCCTGGGCAGAAATTGAGCCGGGGCTCGAACGTTGTATAGCGCTCATCTTATAGGCACTACCTGCCACTAAATCACTTCCGATCTAAATCATATTCTAAATTGATCTTACACCTGCAACAGCGTGCAACAGCGTCACTTAGGCGGTTGTCAACAAAAACATGAGAATATTTGCAAGATTAGGTTTCTAGTTTAGAAATAGTTCTTCACTCTATGGCAATCAAAGTTTTCATCCTACTTTTTTTAAAAATGTCGTTGAACATTTGGTTAGCAGCATAGCCTCTGGAGTGAACCCTATGAGTTGAAAAGCTTTAAAATTTCTATATATTTATTCAACAGTGCTGTTCCAGATTTTCATGGTAACTTTTGCTCCCAGACAATAGGGACGGGACAAACAACATGAATGGAAAAACCACAAGTATCAACAAAACGATGTCGTTACATCTTCATTGTATAGTGGTAAATAATGGGAGCTGTTGAGAAGTTGCATATTAGCAGAATGCAGGAACTTTCCATGGAATGCACAGGAATCTCAGTAATTATAATTCTGCTCCGCTGCACCTGTGCCACATCACCTGATAGCACAAAACGTGTTGTTTTCTTCTTCCAAAAGGAGATGGAGCTCGAAGAGAAAAAGTTTCTTTTTGCTTTGCTTCGGCTCGAAAGTTGGATGGAGATGGCCAGCATCAGTAAAGTCCTTCTTCTGCCCTTTTAATACAATTCTATTCTAGAAGTAAAAACGTTGATCAGATAACATATGCTTTTAAAATGATCATCTGAAAAATCGGCGATTCGCATCTTTTCGAACTTTGCGAAGGAATCATCAGTGAACAATTATGTACTACAATTACTGTGAATATTTTCATACCAGTTTTCCATGCTTCTGTGCCGAATGGACTTTTTCATGGTGAACATTCCCTATGCCTGTCATATCGCCAAATCCTATTCAATTCCAGCCCATAAGAACAGTACTTGTGCCAGATAACCCTAAAGGCTTTCTGGATAAATCACCGTACCACAAGTACGAATAACAAGAATGAGCGTATCAACATAACTATCACATCTTGCCTTAGAAGTCCCACTGATTCGCGTCACGTCACGACCTATTAAATAGGTTGTGGTTCAAGGGGCAGTCTCACTTGCTCTGCTTCAAGCATGGTAGGTAGCATGGGGGTGTTGTCCTCTTCTCTTCTCTCCGAGAATCGCATTGCGCTTTCCGCACCCGAGAGCGCACTATTAAAGAAGAGCTTGGAATTCCCAGCGGAAAGAGCGGTAGCCAGCACGTAGCCACTGCCGCTTGCCGTGAAATTTCGGGTAGAAGTACGTCATCCGGTAGCACAGTAGCTAAAGTTCTAAAAGGCGCTTTTGAGAACGATGAACCTGTCAGTTGATGGATAAGCTGATTGCGCTCACTGCAGCCCTTTTCGTAAATTTAGATATAAAGAAAGAAACATCTCTCATCAAGAAAAAGAGGGCGAAAGAGAGAAAGTAGAGAAAAGAAGCAAGAGGGTTACTTGAAGTGGTAGTGGTGGAGTCATAATGAACGCTTTCTCGCAAAGTTTTCGTCATCATACATGAAAACACTGGGAACGCATACGTACAGCTCAACGATCTCTGGGAACACTTTTACTTGGACCTGATGTCGAGCAAGGTTCAATATGAAATTCGCTTTGGCCTGCTAACGGCGTACGTTGCTGTCCGTGTTGAACTGCATCTACCAGGCGTTGCTCAGTTGCTTAAAGTATGCATCGGACGCTCCACGATGTTCGTTTATAGATTGAGTCCCATGCATTTCTCGAATTTTCGAGCTCCACGATGGAAGAAGTCGAAATCGGACTTCACCAAGAGCAACCATAAACACCAAAGCAATCATGCATAAAGATCTTATTGAGCAAATGAGGATGCATGAATAGCATAGATATGAAGTCAGAAAATGGTTACGTAATAGTCATGGCAAGCTAATTAGTACAGTGGAAAACACATATTTGAAAGCACGTAAGCTGCTGGAATCCACTGTGGATTGTTCCCTAATACAGCTTTCGTCAAAGTACGTAACGATCGTCCAATCACAGCGTTCGCTGCCACCACAACTGGTACATCAAAATCTAAACCAACTGGGAATGTTTTAACATTCTAGGTAAACTAATCAGGGTGAAAACCAAGAAATGTTGACGATGGAACACACTGCTCGTGAGCACATGTAGTACATAACCAAGATGTGCTTATGGTTGACTTTCATTTTCCTCAACTATGTACAGATTATATAGCTTGAAAGACGCAAAAGAGAAAAGTTCTGAATTTTAACCCTTCATGTTATAGAATACAGGCTCTGTAGAGCGTTATATGACACATACTGCTACATTACGATTGAAGCTGATCAACAGAATCACTTGAACAGACTTCGAACTCAAGACGATGGCGACTCGTGGGCAAAGCTTTTCAGGCTGCGAACGAGATTGTACCCGCGCCATTTAGTTCAGAACAATTTCGGAGACATTACCAAAGTAAGCGTCCATGTTCGACTCTCGATAAATCTTGGCATAGCTTTGCATTGATTTTATAAGATTTTAACAAAACCTGCTGCCAAGATGGTAAATAAATTCTTATCAACTTACGTTTCGGCGTTATCGCCTTCTTCATAGTTGGAAACCTCCAACAGCAACCGGTCGTTTAGACGACCGCCGCTAAACACTCTGTCTACTTCCCTGACAGGAGAAGGTTTACCGGTGACGGCATTCCAGAAGTGAGGAAAATTGATTCGGGACAACCAGTTAGCCTATGCGGTGGGTGCCAATGTATCACATATGTAAAGTTTGCCCTCCACTCATTTTCTTGACGGAAATGGAAAAACAGGCCAGGCATCCAGCTTTTACAGTAAGCCGGCTGTTGGTCCTATGCCCAATCGCCGGTTTTTGAACGACACAACCAGGTACGTGCCTCGACCACCCTCCGCAGATTAGCTTGCTCAGGACTTTTTTGATGCGTAGTGACCAACGTGACGGGTTCAGGGTGTAAATTGTAATGAGGTGACGTAGCTCTGGAAAATTCTTAAGAAATCTTTAATATTTATTAAATAGTTCTTTCAGATTTCAACGGTAGTAACAGTTTCCGAACAATAGGGATAAACACAACGATTAAAAAGAAAGCTACGATTATCAGCAGAATGCCATGCACAACAAAACGAAGTCGCCACAGTTCCATCAAACGATGACGGCTATTGAGATCACCATATTCGCAGAAAGCCAGGACTTTTCGTAAAATACGTAGGAACCCCGGTAGTCAGGTAGTTACAAAATCGACGGTGAATTAGTAGTTGAACGTCTACCATTCGCCTTTGACACTAAGCGCTAGGTGCAAAGAAGCACTCTTGGCCTTTTCAGGACCTTCATGATTCTTAAGCATAAATGTTAAGCTGGCACTTCGAAAAAGAAATTATGAATTGGTCAACTGGAGGTTCGATTTTTCCCCCACTCAGCCTTCTGTGGTAATGGTCTCGCCCACTACGGTGCTCCTCACCTTCTGAGACTCAGTTGAAAAACTGCATTTCTTTAGCCACAAAACGTTTCCGAGCACAGGCCTGCAAAGCAGGTTACCCCTCCTCTGTGTTCTAGCATTCAGTGTGAGGGAAAAGAGAAGCCCTTCTTCGGCTACATTTCTAAAAAAAAAGCGATCTGCTTTCCTTCCCTGCACGGCTTGAAAAAAATCAACAAGACATTTTTTCAACAGCAACCATGTTCGACTATCGTTTAATCTTGGAACTAAGCTGAGGTCTGAACGTCGTTTGGTCAGGATGAATCTCAAATATTTTTGGCTTCCAGGCTCTGACGAAGGCGATTGGCCGAAACGTTAGCCGAATAAAATCATTGTATCATCTTGGTCGTGGCTTCAAAGAGACCTCCCAAGACATTTTTTGTTACATGACTGTTGGTACTCCTATATCTTCCATCCAATCGACAGCTGATGAAGATATGCATCATATGCCCCATGATGATCGTTGACGGTTGAGATTCTCGCTGTTGTTCTGCATTTTGAACTAAGTGGAATAATCGAGCGAAAGTTATCAAGCCCAAGGAAAAACATCAATGTTGCGATAAAAACGTCGCCAGATCTGAACACTTGAAAAATGGAAAACGTAGTAGTAAAGTGATCAAAACAACAGGCATAAAGATCTGTAAAGATAGACCCACACTGTTAGGCTTAAGTTTGTTAAGGCGAAGAGCAATTGACTCAATTGTGCATGATTCGGTTGTAGCATATATGCCAATATGAAGGAAGAACAAATGATCACAGCACTCACAGTTTGTCCTATCGACAATTGTATGATTACCTAAATTTAAGAGCATGATTAGAAGGTCGGTTGAACAAAGAGAGGAAATAATGGTTGATTCTTATAATTGCAGGTCCAAAGGATAAAGACTTGGAGTGATAACTAATCCCGCTAGAGTGGTGCGCCCGAGCATTCGACTTCCGTTCAGAATCGTAGTGACGTAATGAGTGCGTATTTGGCCTATACGATGACTTGCGGTGTCTAGCCGATGTACAAGTCACCGCTTTTACCATCTCAGACGGCCTGGTATCAATCAATCGACCCAGGAGTTATGGAAAGCTTGGTTGGCCTAGGCGGTTATTGGTACGGGATTCAAAACCGAGAACCGTGATTATGTGTATGCGAAGTGCGTCACTTGCCACTACACCACCTAAACATTCTAAACAGTAGTGAAAATGTGAGGTTGTACAAGGTTAACATAATGGAAATGGCATGGAAGAGGTATTTGGACGAAATCCAGTTGTTTGCAGTTGGAGGTAGCCTTAATTAGTCAAATTTGGCGAAGTTGCCTTTTCCTGTCGCCATGGTTCGCGACCGTTTCTACGAATCGTCAACATGAGTGCTCCAGTTTGAATGGTGCAGCCTCCACAACGCTACTGGAACACGTCCGCTTCTAGGTATTGACATAGATGAGGTCTCCAGCAGTTATAGTACTTTATCTAGAAAGCTTTATTCCCCTTCGCGCTTCGTCCAATATTGAATACTTGGAGACCAGGAGTCCTTTTCGTTTAGAAACCTCGAAACCAATTCAATCGTAATTGTTGCCTTCAGAGGCAAAAAGTGTTGGAAGAGGGTTTGCGGACTACGAAAACCTCCCATATGTTATGTTATGTTTATTACGCTGCTAAGGCAAACGTGGTATAAAAATGATAACAATCTTTTGGAACCAACTCAAATAACGGAGCAAATACAAGGAACATATGTATGTAGATAAAGCGTAATCTCGTACAAAGAGGTCCACGTAAATAGGGTGACTCCAAAAATAGATATAAAACATAGGTGTAGAAGAAGAAATGGCCAACCGCAAGGAACTATGAAAGTTCATGATTCGATAAAAATTACTTCTCCAGTGCGTTTGAACTGGGACAAGGAATCCGGAGCGTTCATGTTTTTTGCTACCTTTTTGTAGAGGCTAGCGCCTCTGACTGTGAAACTTCTGACTCTTATACTGGTTCTGGGCCTAGGGAGATTTATTTTGGTCTGACCGCTTCTGGTTAGGAAGTAAGCTATATTATAAAAATCAAAAGAACCGAATGTATTACTCTGGTACAATAGCTTGTAAACCATGCATACGTCGAATACCCTGTGCCGTTATTCTAAAGTAGAGAGTTCAAAGTAATTCAAGTCTGTCACATTTGCACCACACATATTCGAGTAATATATACATGTAGGTAAAAAAAGAAGTACGCCTATCTACCTTCATCACCCTAAGGTTCTCCTTCAGCTGAAATTTCGTACTAAGGGTATAGACAACATTCTTCTTTATGACACCACGACTGATATCCCGCAATTTCGCCGAGTCGCGGCGATAGAGTGCTGTGTACGATGAGCAACAAAGAACTATGAATAATGCAAAACCCATCGCAAAATAAAAGAGGCTGACATAACCTGAAATCAACTGTCTATTAAAGTTAAATTATAAGTGGGATTAGTGAGTTAAATTATGAGTGGTATATATATTAAGTGCTCTGTTTCTGTTCTTTTTATGTGGTTTGATCGTCAGTCCGCGAAAAGTTACACAAGAGCGATCAGGAGTGTGAAATGTCACGCGAGTTGCCCCCTACAGGAATGATGCACAATTTTCTATTGCTGATGTCAAGCGAAATTTCGAATGTAAATGTTCATGATAGCTGCGTATTCTTCTGCCTTCGTGAACCCTTGATTCTTTCAATCTTGAGCACTTCACTCTGAGCTGTGATTGGTAGGAATGAAGCCTGAGCTGAATTTCGGGTGGAGATTTAGCTGTTCGTGTATGCAGGGCAAGGGAATCTTTTAGTATTCCTTTTGAGTAATATCGTATATAACCGAGTGCGTAGCTCCACTTTACAATCATATTAAACGCTTGAACACAGTAACGAATTTGTTAGTCGAGTTAATCATGACGACGGTCATTGGATTCACAAAGCGTTGTGTAGTTGGGTTGAGTTCTTCATTTAATTTGATAGGTTCGTCTACCGCTATCGAAGGGCCATGGAGAATATGTATGTACGTAGCATCGCAAAGAGCCAGTTCTCGTTTAGTGGACTTCAACAAAAATTGCCTTAGCCACTGAGCCAAGACCATGAACCTTCTTCAAATCCTTGTTTAGGACACCATCATACTTAATTTCGAGGGAGAATTTTTACATCTCGAAGCCGAATTCTACGCGAACAGTTCTGGTTACTGGGCTTGATATACCTTTAAAACCTACAGTTTCTCTCAACCCAAAGTGATTTTTGGTACAGAAACAAATAAAATTGATAGGTTGCAAGTATTGTATGTAGGAATTGCCCTAAAAACCATTTCTCAATCGCTTTTTATCGATATCGCTTAAGAAAATGGTCAATGTTACAGCTACAATTGCATGTACTCACCGACTAAAAGGATAGCAGTGTCAATAGCTGACACCACATAGACCGAAAGAACGATGACTGCACTGATCCATTTCCTGGAGTTTTTTTCATAGTCTTTGATGAATTTAGAGGCAAAACCACGTTCAATAATAGCTGCTGGTAGGTAAACTGCTGCAACACAAGAGCTCCATGTACGAACAAAGGCTGCTGTGGCAATGATTATGTAGTCGAGATTGCTGCCTGAATGAAATAACGTCAGACTACCACTGAGAATTGGCATTTGCTTTTGAGTATTCAGTCCTTAGCAGTCGAATTCCGACCATACAACGCCCTTCAAACCGTATTCCGGCACATTGCAGGCTAGGCTTTACTACCGCATCTTAATCACTGCGACCGAGGCCGTTGCCAGGACCAGCCGGATGTCGGCTACGTTTCAACGCAAATTCTGAATGCAACCCAGCATTTTCAGTCGCAGGCGAGGTGTATTGTCTGAGCTCAAAGGCGATCTCCCTCGAAAAGTCTTTCAGGAAAGGAATGGATGAATAGTACGGTGCGTGAGTGCACCTTAGCATGAACAAGTGTTAAAGGTGCCATCAGATTCTGACAAAAAGCTGAAAACTCGCAGGAAATCGAGGCTCATTGATAAGACATGCCTTCTTCCGCAAGAACGCCGAACTCAGAAAGAAGCAAGGCAATGCGAGCCGGTATGCTGAGATAATACATGAGCAGTGTAGCCTGAAATGCTAAGTATTAAATTAGGATTGATGTGTTTCTTTCTTTCAGTGTTCTCAAAGTTCATTTGAGAAGGAACGCTATGTAGTTTTGATATTACTTGTATACCACGAGTTCACGATTCGAACAAAGGAGCAAGTTACCTCAGAAGGAAAGCCCAAGCACTAAAAGACATAATGATGACCGCAACAGCAGCCCTGTAACGTTTGGGTACTTTTGCTGTGTTTAACAGTTTCAGAGGCTGATATTTAAGATTTATGTTGTTTTTCGAACACAGCTCTAAGAGTAATGGTTTAAAGTGTGCATTCGTCCAGACTCACCTGAGATATTCGTACTAGATTTCTGTGGAGTAACGGACTTTTGTCCAAAATTCGGATAGTAAATGGTATGTATACTGCAGCTAAGAGCATGGCAAAGAGTTCGATGGCGGTGAAGAACCAAACAATTACAATGGTTGCTTCAAATTTGTATTTTGGTCTGATAAGCATTATGAACATTTTGACATTTCCGATTGTAATGTCCATTGCAGTTTTGCCTGAAACAGAGTTTACAATATAGTGAAACTGGTTAGATTTTGCCAAAAAATGATCCGAACGTGAGAGTTGTGAGCATAGACGAAATTCCGATTCAATGTCCAAATGTAAGGAAGGCGCAAAATCGTAGTCAGAGGATCAGTAAGATTCCATAAATCAGGCGCGTACAGGGGAGAAGAGCGGTATGTAAAGGAGCCAATCTCTGATCCAAACATTGCCACCTCGAATAGACGGACATGGACTCACCCTAGATTTGGGCTCACCCTAATCGTGCTACTGAACCTAGTTCCCGGTAGAGGAACTGCGGCTTGACGCAATTCGCAATTCAGAAATGGGGATTCTCATGAAATATTATTGCGAACCAACGTACGGGAGGCGAAGGGAAGTAGAATGAGAGGGGTGCTATCATTTTATCATCATTACGCTCTATTTTTGCGAATATTATTTTTCATTTTCAACAGAAACATAAAAAGGTTTGATGAGCGGTATTGAACGAGTCGATTGCGAAAGATACCCATATAAGGTGACAACAGTAACGGCTATAGGAACACTTGGCTCCTTGACAACAAAACTCAGACATACACTTTAATCACGAAGTGAGGAATTCTCCGAAATCAGCACACAAAGCATAGGCAGAGGCGTACAATATTATGCAAATTATGGTTTGAATGCTTCGGGGGAAATACAACTTAAGTAGAAAAGTAACAGTTAACTCGTGCTATTAATTACTTGTTTCACTTCTTGTTGACGAAGAGCTAACAATATTTCTGAGTATCACATTTTATTTTTACAAAATTCTTAGCACCAATGATCAACTGTCAGTGAAAAATACATTTCGAAACATTGCTACTGCTGCAATTAACATGAATAAGGGAAGCCAATGGCTTCCAGGGTGTCCCCAAGTTATGTACACCAAAATTCAGAGTCTTCTAATGCAAAAATAAGTTGGTAATTTTGCCCCATTCTCTAATAATCAGTTGCACAAGTACGTTTCCTTGCGAAAGGCATAGTTGCTGGCGCTTCTACCTACTTCCTTCACACATACTCTATGTACAGAGTATGTGGATTCAAATATGCAATATTTGTTTCACCGCCGGAAAGCCGGTGGATCTGCTTGGAATCGAGCCAAAGAGGGAACGTTTTTGAAGCAAAAGCCTGTTTGTTCGGATCCCTACACTGACGGAAAAAAATCTCCAGATTCAGACCCATATTAGAACAAAACAACCCCGTACTACGAAAGCATGGGATAGTAAGCTGTCCACAGGAGTATAATTTACAGAGGTCCTTATCATTCTAAATACTATGTAAGCACTCCAGATTCTTTTGAAATCGCTAGGAATAGAAGAATTGATTGTTCATTGTTAAATCATTTAAATAACTGGTAGAGTTTCACCGCCAGATTGAATTAGGAAAGAGAGTCAAGAAAAAAAGAGTTGTAAATTTCGAGTTTATCGAGAGCGATTTAGATGTTCATGACGGTGAGCACTATGCCGTAAACGTCCCAAACAGCTTGAATAAAGTGGAAATGGTCCTCAGGCTCAGGTGAGGTTTGCAGGAGAACTGTAGGGTTCACCATGCACCATGGCAGCAGACGCTGGCAGGTATTCATTGATAAGGAGCAGTCGAATGCTTGAGCATAAACTCAAAGGACTGACGAATTGCAGAATATTTGTCGTGATAACATTATTTCATCTTGAAAAACTGCAGGATTTTGCTAAAATGACTAGATCCCAAGTACGATTCCAGGCATTCGAAGCATCGAAACGTTTAGCAAGGGGTGTGGTGCGATTCACGCGTCAATATAATGAGGTCATCGGAAGAAACGTGCTATAACATCATGCCTACCATCATAATGGGAGAAATAAGAATTTATAAGTAACATAAGTGAAAAAATGACCAACTACGCACGTTTGCAAAAGGATTGCGCTCTTTAGAGTCAAAAATTTTGAAGTTATCCTTATTTTGAACGTTTGACAAGGAAATTGGTGACCTATGAAGGGAATTCTTAATCTCGAAGGGGCTTTATTGCCATTTTAAAGAGACTTACTCTGATTTATGGTGAAGCCGTGGACTGCTGCAAATCTTATTTGGGTTTTAGTACAGCAGTTCGGTGGGGTGGCACGATAGCTGACGTAAAAGTAGTCAGTGCGCGACATCACCGAAGGTGGGAAGTCTCATATAAATAAAAGAAGGCCGTATAATGAAAGGGAATTTACCAGGTCTTAGAGCAGCGTTTACCACAAGAAGTCCTTCTTGCATTTTACACCACTTAGGTGGTCAGTGTACTAATATGAAGCTGGAGATTCTGGAAAGTAGTTGGAGCAGCTCCCCTGAGCCTTCTCGATGCTGGTCCATACACCGCCAGTCTAATTCAACTTGACGGACGCGGATTTTAATTGAGTCTTCGGCGTCTCCTACTCTAATGAGCTTATTTGCAGATGTCATGAGAAGATATAGCGTAGAATGCGACACACTAACGTCTCCATTTACGATGCCTTCATCTGAAACTCAGCTCCTTGACATTCATGTACTTAATTGGTTTCATATGTATACGACTTCAATCAGTCGTACCGATGAATTAACACTAAAATGAAAATAAGTACCCCGGTTGAGTTGGATACAACAAATAATTTCCAGAAAACACAAGTAATGTTTTTCTGTCTAGTGAACCAAGAAAGAATAGGCATTTCAGAAATCTATGTGATAAATGAAGGATTGATAGCTCAGGATGAGTCGGGATGGTGTCAAGCAGGGTTGGGAAAGTTGCTGTTGCTATTACAAATCAGAGTTCTGTTACAGACTCCGCTGAGCACGCTTGGCTCATTCCCGAGATTCTATATGAATCTGAAATAAAACTAAAGCTCCCCAAAAGACACCGAGTTCGAATTACTGGGAAAGCAAATGGTGCCACGGAAATGGATAACAGGCAACTTTGAGAAGGACAGCGAAACCGAAGAAGCCCAGGGAAGGTAGAAGTCGAGTCTCGTTTACAGTCATCCATACCCTCCCAAACTAAGATAAATGACTGTTCGGAATTTGGGAATGGAATACTCGAAATAAAAAGCGTTTCCATCGTAATCTAGGAATTGGGGAAGAATCAGAGATAACGATAACTTAGGAAAGCGAGAGAAAGCGTTTCCCCGATCGGGGAGATGGCGGCATTCACAGGTATCACATTCACTGATAGAAAAGTGCAGATCCAGGAAAAGATCGTCGAGAATTCTTTAAATAGAACTTTTAATACATATTAGGGATTTTTGTGTTGGTTTCATATGTAGGGTATGTTCTTCTAAAATAATATTTTGAAGAGGCAAAGTGAGCAGAAACTTTTGAGGTTAACTGCTTGGAGGGAATTTACATAGGTGTACAAAGATAGACTTAGCGCACAAGAACCTCTGCCGATAACTTCGTTAATTGCAGTACCAGTTTTCTTCTAACTGCTTATGATGCGTTTATACTTTTTACGCTCGCTGTCAGTAAGTAAGAAAATAATCCGAAAGCGAAAGTGAGTGTTGCCATGAAAACGCGTGATTAAGGTGAGTAAGAATTAGTTGCAAAGTGTTCCATTAGTCATACAAACCAATATAAAATGAGAAGACTTAAGCTTCTATGGTAGACGCCACGCGCTCGATTTTTGCCCAGATTTGCGCTTCAAAAATGTAGAAATCGTACAACTTATCTTAGACCTCGGATTACCAAATGTTCGACACTACGCGCTCTTTATTACAGATTTTGGGAATGTAGATAGAAAGTCTAGAATGGGGATGAGTAGAAAACGTTTGTCGAAGTTTTTGAACCACACTTGCGTCAAGGGTCAGTGCTTTCTTGATAAGTTCTTTTTAAAAGTTTGCTTCTTCAAGACGATCAACGACTACGGGAGGAAGAGAGCGAATTCGCTTAACACCAATCTCCCCACTCAGTCCCAAGGATCACAGAGAACTCGTACACTACTAGGACTCCGACGTGAATTCAAAACCACTCATAATATCGTTGTGTGTTCAAACCACGTGTGATGGTTGAGCAGATCACTGGCTCCGTCTTCTGAGCGGGATTATGATACTCGGCTTCATCCTTATGCACTCAGGGAGATAGCACTTTCTCGTTCTCAACCCATTAAAATTGATTAACTATAGTAGTCGATAAACTGTGTACTCCCTCTCCTTTATGGGACAATCAGTAACCATGCAGTTGATAAAAGATTGTTTGGTCCCAGTAGAGGGTGTAATTTCTCGCATATATCAGTGTCAATTTGTCGCTGTAGGTTTCCTGAACAGGGATTAGGATTATCACTTACACTGATCGTGCACTGATTACGTTCTGAGCGGCTACGGCTTAGCGACCTGTCATACACAATCATTTAGCTAATTGCTTCCCTTGACATAATCATCCGTATTTATTGGGATCTCTTGTCAACACGTTCATATTACATTTCGGCAGTTGTTAATTAGTTTTTACTAGAGCCACCCATAATTCTGTTCGTTTCAATTGTAACTCATTAGCCTAAATCACTTCATTATATGCAGTGAGTGCAGAACAGGTAGGGTGGTCTATAGATATCAATTCACCCTTGCTTTACTTGCATAGGAATAACTTTGACGAAAAACAAGGAATAAAATGACCGTTATTTACTGATCCACCTCTAGCTGACCATGCGTTCAATGACTTTTCACCACCTTGGGGATACTTGGCCCCAATTGTGACTTGCTGTAGTCCATCTCCGATTAAATAGGTAAGTCTCCATGTACTGGCTCCCATGGCTAAACTCGCACAAGGTTTTAATGAATGATTTGATCCATTTCAGGCTATGAAAACTTTGACACCACCGAAACATCAGCCTAAAAAAGTTTTCAATGAAAACCCTACAAAAGCTGAATGGGTGAGCTTTTCAACCCTTCTGAGTTCAGCATTAATCAACCTACCTGGAGGATATGGGGAGCTCGGTCGCCCTGAGATGGTTTGAATACGAGCAGCCGGCTTTAGCATCTCAAAGG